GATATTTTATATTCAATATTATTATTATCCCAACAACAAAAAAATCTCTGATAGCTTCTCCTATCACTTCAATACTGTATATATAATCCTAGTCTAGTGTTTGGGGGTATGGTGTGTGTGTGTGTGTGTGTGTGTGCGTGCGTGTGTGTGTGTGTGTGTGTGTGCGTGTGTGTGTGTGTGTGTGTGTGTATGTATGTATGTATGTATGTGTGTGTGTATATATGTGTGTGTGTATGTGTGTGTGTGTTGTATATGTATGTATGTATGTGTGCGTGTATGTATGTGTGTGTGTATGTGTGTGTGTGTTGTATATGTATGTATGTATGTGTGCGTGTATGTATGTGTGTGTGTATGTATGTATGTATGTATGTGTGTGTGTATATATGTGTGTGTGTATGTGTGTGTGTGTTGTATATGTATGTATGTATGTGTGTGTGTTAGGTCCTAATCGTTTGCCGTCCAAATCGTTTGTGTGTTTTGGGGTTTGGGTTTGTCTTATTTTTATGGCATACATGAGCACTACATACCCGTTTGATGTAAACATCCACAAAGAGAGAGAGAGAGAGAGAGAGAGAGCACAATCTAACTTAAACATTGAAGTTGTATTTTGTGACGGTATCACCACAAAAAAAATCCATTAGAGTAGAGTGTAGTACATATGAAAATAAAACCGCAAACCGCAACCTAAATAATAATAATAATAGATTTGATACCCAAAATCAAATTTTAATTGTAAATTATAAACTTGATAATAATAATAATAACCTAGTTAAATTATATATTTATACTGTTTATGATAATTGATAATAAACCACATTTTGTTTCAATTTTTGTTGTTATTGGGAAAAAAACGTATAAAATTATTCATATGATTTTTTTTTATTTTTTTAAACAAAAAAAAATTAAGACAATAATTTTAAATAAATAAAAACATTAATTTATTTATCAAATTGATTATAAATTTTTATCTTAAATTATTATATTAAAAATATCTATATATATATATATATATATATATATATATATATAGAAATATCTATTTTGAAAAAAATCACTCAATTATTAATATGAATTATTTTTTTAAAAAAATTAAAGTATTATTTTTTTAGTCATCTCTAATATATAGAAAGTGTGGTTCCGTTACAAAATAAACTAAATAATAATAATAATAATAATAATAAATTGTTTTAAGGCTTAACAACCAATCATTATATAATAGGGTGGGATTTATTTGCATATATAGACCTAACAACTAATTGTAATGTCAAAATCAATTCAAATATTAGTATTTATTATATATAATTCATACATCAATCTCATAGTTATATAATCAAAAAACCACCAAAAAAAATAAAACTATAGTATTGATCAATATATATATATTTAGTTGAAATTGTTTTTTTTAAAAAACCGCATCTTTTTATGGGATTATATATATATATATAGTATATATACTAAATATTTTAGAGGCTTTACTGTAGTCTTATCTGTAATTGTTTAGTCGTTTAGTATTTTTTATTTTATTTTTATTTATTTTTTTTGAAATAAAATAATGATTTTTTAAAAACATGTACAAAAAAATGTTGTTATTATTATTATTATTATTATTTTTATTTATTATTGTTATTTTTATTTATCTTATGATTAAGACATCAAAAAAATAAAAAATAAAAATAACAAAAATAATAATAATAGAAATATATTTCGCAGACAATGTATTATTAAGTGATGAGATATACTGTATATATAATATATATTTTATATATATATATATATATATATATAAAGACAACAATAATAACAACAATAATCTGTAATAAAAACATTTAAAACACACACAAATCTAATGGCACTTCAAATATATATATATTTAAACATTCATTCATTCAGTCAATTCATTCATTAATTTAATCGTAAAAAAATAGATATAATTTTTTGTTTCTTAGTTATGTATGTATTATACAGTATATGTGTTATATAAATATTATTTTTATTATATAAAATAAAATTATAAATGATTTTTTTGATTGCATCTATTGTTATTAGTTATGTGTAATATAAATAATAATAATAATATTTGATTGTTGCATATTTTTTTGTTGTTGAGGGGGTAAACAGGGTTTATATATATATATATATATATATATATAAAGTGTGAAAATCGGATATTAAAAATATATTAAAAAACTATTTATATGTATTTAAATCTGATTTTGATTTTATTGACAGTCAAAGTGTCTATCAAAGTGTCGGCAAAAATCTGCTTTTAGTTAAAAACTTTTTGCCGCAAAAATAATAATAATAATCATATAAATTGTTTCAATTATTATTATTATTTTTAGTCAATACATTTTTTTGCCATCCATTAAAATATAGATTCAATTATTAATATATTTTTTTAAATATATTTATTTAAATAATTATTGTTAACAATGAATATATAACATTCAATATTATTATTATTATTTAATATTAATTAATAGCCAAATAATGTTATTTATATAAAATATATTTTATGTTATACACTGTTATCAATATATATATAACGTATTATATATAATAATAATAATACAAAGTTTAGGTAAATATAATTATTGGAAAAAATATCAATAAATATGATAATAAAAAAAATTAAATACTAAATAATAAACGTTTATTTATATAATTTATTATATAATATTCATTTTAAAATAATATTTATTTATTTTTGCAAAAAAAAACAAACAATTAACTCTATAATAAATCAATGAAAATTATAGTTTTTTAATAATATTTTTTTTAAAAAAATAATAAAATAGTGTTATTAATACAGTCTATTGTTTACTAATAATTTAAAAATAATATTTTTATTATATCTATAAACAAAATTGCTTATTTATAAATATTATATAACTATTAATAATATTTATCATTTATTAATTCATTATTTAAAATTATTTGAAAAAATATTTATCTAATATATAATACAATAATAGTTTTGTCACTGTTTTAAGCAAACAAAACAATAATTATTTTTTATAAAAAACAATATTATCACATATATTATTATTATTATGATTTAAATAATAACAAAAATGATAATAATAATATCATAATGTTTATAAATATGATGATATTGTTATTTATATTTATTTATTATTATTATTATTATTAGGTAAATATTGATAACAAAATAAATAAATTTTCATAACTTTCAACTATTATACTGTATATATATAAATATTATATATTATATTATATATAAAATTATTGATAAAATATTATTATTGAATTAGTTGTTTGATAAGAAAAATACAAAATAAACTAAAAACTGATAAAAATTATATTAAATTATTGTTTATATTTTTTATGATAACAAAAAAATAAAAAATATTAATTACCAGTAATTATAGTTGTTATTATTATATACTTATAAAATTAAATAATAAATGTGATGATAATAATAATAATTTTATTATAAGTGTATTTTTTTGTTTGTAAGTTACCGTTTTTAATTTAATTTTAATAATTTTTTTTAATGATTACTATATATATGATTGTTTTATACCGATTATAAAAATTTTGTTTAAAAATATTTAGTTATTTTATCTTCAAAAAGGAAATATTGGATTTTTTTTAAACGATTTTATTACTTATATTATTATTATTATTAAATACTTATAAATAAATTGATGTTTAAAAGCGGTGTCACTGAAAAAAAATCCATTTAATTATTTTTTTATTGAATTATATATATTATTTGTATACAGTATTTATTATATATATATATAATTTTATTGTATAATTAATAATCTAATCGCAAATCTAGTTATATCTATTGATTGATAATATCATTTGATGATATTTTTTTGTTGTTGAAATATATATATATATAATTAATAGTTTTTTTTTACTACAACTACTACTGTATATCCTGTCGATAACAATATTATATTTATAAAATTAAATAGTATTTAATTTTATCATAATTTTAATATATATATATATATATATATATTTATTAATTTATAATATAAATAATAAACTAATTGCACTAATATATTATATTTAACTATATTTATTAGTAGCTATGTACCGTATACTAATTAATTAAAAAGTTTAAATATAATTAAATATACACTTTTATTATTATTGTTATTATTATTATTATATTGATGTTAGTAACAAACTTATTTAAATTTATTTATAGAAATTAAAAATATTAAATATTATTATTAATAATTTAATATATTTTGATATACCAATCAATCATTTTTAACATATTTTCTTTTACAATTTAAGTTTATTGAAAATTAAATTATAATTTAAGTTATTTTGTTGCTAAAAACATATTATATTTACCTATTATTTAGTAATAAAATTAAACTTAAAAAAGTAAAGTACATATTTTGTTTTAAAAAATAAATATATTTAGTATTACACATTTTTTAAAGTAATTAAATATACACATATATATTGACTATATTTTCAAAAAAAAACATTTTAATTTTATTACATAACTAATAATATATTTAATTAATTAATTAAATTGAAAAATATTCAAATTTTTTAAAAACTAAATAAATTTAATAATTTATATTTTGGTATTAATTAATATTAATTAAATAATTGATATATAATAGTAAAACAATTAATTTATAATATGTTTTTTTACAAAATATAATAATTCAATTCAAACAATACAAAAAACAATTGTTTTTTTAACAGAAAAAATTATTATTACTATTATTATTGAAAAAAACCAAACAAACAATCAAACAAACAAACAAAAAATGAGATATTATTTTAAATGGTAATATCAATGACTATATATATATATATATATATATATATATACTGTATAATGTATACCTATATAATGTATATAATATATATATATTGTATGAGAGAGAGAGAGAGAGACTATTGATTTGACAATTCAAATAAAAACTATTTATTTAATATATATATTATTATAATAATGTCATATATATAGTATATATATATATATATTGTTTGGCTTATCTATCCTATCTGGTAGGCGGTACAAACATAAATGGCAATAGTGGGTCCATATCGGCCCATACAGTGGGATAATAGTTTAAAAAACTATAGCCACCACCACTGTCACCACCACTACTACCAATGGGGGGATGACTACCAGCACTACCAGTAGCTATAACCTGGTTGTTATGCATTGTATTAACTAACAATGAGCTATCAATGATGCCATTATTATGATACTGATGCTGATGATGATGATGGTGTGGTAGTACTTGATGATGATGTTGGGCATAACCATTGTAGGCGAACCTGGATATAGGTGCTGCTGCTGCTGCTGCCGCTGCTGCTGACAGTCTCAGTGATAGCTCCGTCAGTAGCGGACTATTAGTGGTTGTTGTCACTACTGGTGTCGTCGTCGTCGTTGTCGTCATCGACGATGACATTACTGAACCATTGCTTGATTGTTGTTGACTACTAAATGATAAGCTCTTGTTGTTGTTGTTGTTGTTATATAATAATAAATCAAGAGCTGCTGGTGCTGCTGATGGCTTTACCAAACCGTCGTCACCAAACATGATGACAGTTCCGCCATCACTACTACCGGTGCTACGGTTATAGCTGCTATCAAATGAATAATTATGATGACTAGCATTACCGGTAGTAGTAGTAGTACTAGTTTGAGGACTAGTACCGGTGCTGCTGCTGTTGATGATACTGTCTATTGAAAACGATACGACACCTCTCTGTCCGTACGATTTGCGATAGTATTTGTCAGTTAACTGACTGTCCTCTGTTGTTGTGGCCGTCGTCGTAGTCGTCGTCGCCTCTGTTGTACTATCGTTGGTCGACTGATGATCGCTAACATCATCGTCATCGTCGTCGACATCATCGCTGCTATTATGTCCAGTATGTATGCCATGGATGAGCAGCTCATCCAGCGATCGGATCATCTTTTTGTTGTTGTTGTTGTTGTTATTCCTGTCTCTGACTCTACTGATGACAACCTCTTCGTTGTTGTCGTCGTACACACGCTTACGATGATGTGGTTGTTGTTTGCCATCAAATGGATGATTACCACCACCTCCTCCTCCTCTACCATTGCCAGTGCCAGTGGTCGTTGACTTTGGCCGACGTTTACGGCGCCTGAAGTTTCCGTTTTCAAACATTTCCTCGGCATTCGGGTTCAGTGTCCAATAGTTACCCTTACCTGGCCTACCCTTTTCGCGGGCAACCTTAACAAAACAGTCGTTAAGGGATAGGTTGTGTCTGATTGAGTTTTGCCAGCCCTGTTTGTTATCGTGATAGTAGGGAAAGTTGTCCATAATATACTTGTAGATACCCGATAGGGTTATCCGTTGGTCGGGTTGCGATCGGATAGCCTGAGCTATGAGCGCAATGTACGAATAGGGCGGCTTCTGGTGCTGATTGAGATGATTGAGATGATGCTGATGGCTACCGATGCCCAGCATCGTATGATGATGATGAACACTGTCGATGATTGTACCGATACCGGGGACACCACCACCAGCTGACCGATGATGTATAGCCAGATCGTAGTTATGTTGAGCAGCGGCTGCCGCTGCCGCAGCTGCTGCGGCCGCTACAGCCGAGTTGTATATGTTTGAGGCCGCTGTATGACTACGGCTCTGACTACCGCCACTACTACTATAGCCCGATGATCCGTACCGTACGTCCAGTGTATTGGCGACGGCTGCGGTGGTGGCAGTCATCGGTGTACTGGCCATAGGATAGCCTGTTTGATGATTGTTGTCTTGAATTGCACTTAAATAGTATGTTAATGACATTGTTGTTGTTGTTGTTGTGGTCAATGATGATGATGGTTATGGTGGTGATGATGGATGGATGGACACACCTACTACTACTAAATTTGTAGTATTTTTTTATTATTAGAGATACCAGTGCCCAATATATACACTGTTAATGTTTGTATTTTTGATGGTTCACCGATTATTTTGTTGGTCAAACCTATAACCAAAAATTCAAACAAAATATTAGATATTAAATATTTTTTCAAAAAAAAAATATATTAAATTCAAAAATATTTTTAAAATTAAATAAATATAACATAATATATAATTACATTTAATTAAAATAATATTAATTTTGTTTTTTTTAATTGTAGACTATATAAAAAATATTTTTGACGATTATAATAAACAAAAAAAGTTTTCAACAAAAATATTTATATATATTATTAATAATTAAAAATAATTATTAATTAAATACTGTTTTTCATATCATAAATAATTTGTTTACAACTTTTTTTTTTTGAATTGAAAATTTTATTTTGATTGCGACTCTGAAAAACAGTTTATATATATATATACTGTATATATATATAATATTAATATATATATTATTATTAATATTAAATATACAGATATATATATACAGTATATAAATATATATATATATAAACTAAACTATCATAATCTTATCATTTATTTTATTTTGAAAATGTATGTATTTTTTTATTATTATACAGTACTCTCTTTC